AGGACGGCCTTTCGGGCACCACGCAGGCGTCTCTCCACGTGACGAACCCGGACGTGCGAGGTCGGCAGACGGGGCGTCTCCCGCTGGTCGTCTCGTCTCGGGTCGGGGCCCGGGGCCCTGGCAGTGCCAGCGTGGGGGGCCAGAAGCAGCGAACGGGGGAGCTGCACCAGCCCTGGGGGCAGCCCCCCCCCCCGCACCTGCTCACGTCTGCACTGACCATCGCGCTGCACGGCAGCCTTTTTGGACACGGATTCTCTATTTTTCCTGAATTCCAGTGTTTGGGCTTCCTCGAGTCCCCGTCAGAAGCAGTGCTCCTTCTGCTCTGAAACGACTTGAAGACCCTGGGCCACTCCTCTGCCACCCTAACCTTCCTCTTGTACAAGCATCCTGCAGATACCCTGTGTGTGATGATACAGTCTCCTTAAACTCTTTTTCTTTTGGGACTATTTATAGCAGTTTTCAGAAATTCGTGTTGGATCCTCCAAACAACAATTTTTCCCATTATGGTTCTGGACCATGTGTGCCCAGACTTTCTTTAAACACCAAGACATCAGTGTTCAGAAAGTCTACATGTGACCACACGCAGTGTTTTCTGTCTTACTGTCCTGAACTTCAAAACAACCAAACTGCTTTCACTCATGATTCCAACCTTCTCCACTGCACCCACAGACATCCCTGGTGGGTCGGAACCAGATGCAGAGTCTCACTAACCCACTTCGCCTTCAGAGAAGGTCAGAAGCTCTGACGTGACCCTCCCTGACATGACTGCCTAAATTAGGGGCCCCTCTCCCTGGGCCCAAGACACTCTCCAGAATGGGGCTCTCCAAGCACCCGGCCCCCACGAACAGCAGCGTTGGGAGGCTGGCAGACTTGCTGGGCCCCGCGCTCCTCCCATCACCAGCCTCAAGGGACCTCCAGGAGGACCCCTGGGAGCACAGGCCGACGCTGCCCGGGCCACTCCCTCGTTGGCCTCGTGTTTCTTTCATTCCCCCCTCTTCTGGGTCATGCCAGGAACAATGGAACGGTTATGAGACAACTTTTAAGTTCACGAACGGTCAGGAGGGTCTGATGGAAAAACCTAGACTCATGAAGGTGAAGTTCTGCCGGAAAGCTGCACACCGAGAACCGGCAAACTCAGGGCTTGACCTAGAGCCTCCTCTCACAGCTGGAGTCTGGCTGAAGGGCCGGTGGCTTCGAGAGGAGCTGCTGGGGCCACGCCTGTCACTCAGGCTGGCAGCACAGCGACCGCCCCCCGGGGCGGCTGGGAGGCGAGGAGGACGCTGGGGAACAAGCAGCAGGCGCCGTGACTACTGTTGCTCGAGGCCAGTGCCTGTCTTTCTGGGTCAGCGGTGATCACGCAGGGAACTACTTTTGTTTTTACACCACGGCATTTCATGTATCATAACACAGCTTCTTCTTAACAGCTCAGGCAAAAGCCCGCAAAGGGGAAAACAGATAATTAAGCAAAGGGCCTTGGAAGCTACAACTACCTTACTTCCTAACCCGAAGAGCTGCCCTGGCTTCAGACTTTCAGAGTGGAGCTGCCAGGGCTGCCCCCAGGAGGAGGCCACGCCTGTGGGAACGTGTGCCCACCCTAACAGCAACCAGCCTCCTGCAGCCCCGTCCCCCGCCTGCCCCCCTTCCCTAAGAGCAAAACCCACCTCCCCTTGGTGGAACCTTCTGACTCATCGGACGGCTCTGCTCGCGAGTACCAGGCGGGTCTTACTCTCACTGCACCCTCTCACCGGAAACTCCTGGACACGCTGCCATCTTTTCTTGTGTGATTTCTAGCTCTGGTTATAACATTTCCACAAAATCTCATTATTTTATTAAAAAATGTATTTAAAAAAATTTGGGGGGTAACTAGGTTTACTCTTAGTTATTATTTTTGGCTAAAATTTCATCATTTTTCCTTATTCTGTAAATGAGTCTATGGATAAATGTCTTTGGACCCTCTGGAGAGGTTTATGACGAGTTTAGGGACGAGCGTATTAACCTGAGAGCGACGTGGCCACCTCCTTGCCGCCAGCCGCCACAACGGAAGCAGCAGAGTGACACGGGGTCACCACAACAGCCTAAATTAAAAGGCCCGAAGGCGCCGGAGTCCCTCCCAGCACAGACACCACCACTGCTGTGACGCTAAGTGACCACGAGGGGGTGCCAGAGCCCAGACCACGCGGAGGCTTGCTGTGCCCTCTGCTTCCTCAGATGGCGGCGGGGGGGGGGAGGGGGGGGGCTGGGTCTCCAGCACCGTCCCGTTAAACCATGATGGAGTCTTGTTACAAATGTCTTTTAAAAACTGATACGTATCAGTGTCACCCTTAGCCATCTAACGCTGGCGGGAGCTTGTTCTATCAGTTTGTTCCCCAGTTAAGACACTCGGCATCGTATGAACGCAGTGTTTAGAGATCCATAAACACCCGCCAAAACCGTCCCACGGGGCTCAGACAGGCAAGGAAGGAGGCCCCGCTCCGCGCCCGGCTGGACGGGCAGGTCCCCCAGAGCGGCACCGCTCCTCCCCTCACGTGAAGGGGGCCTGAGGGAACGCAGAGAGCACCGCTCTCATTTTCCCATCTTCCTCTCTAAACAAACCAACCCTGAGCGCCTGGGGCTGTCTTCGCTGGGCTTCAAGTGCGCTCAAACTTGATTTAACACAATGACCTCTAATCCTTCTTTTCCAAAGTCGGGGAGGGAAAAGGCAAATGGGAGGAAAGACGGACCCCTAAATGCAGAATCAAAATTCCATTTTTAGGGTGGATAAAACCAAGGTGAGGTGGTTTAGCAATGGCTCCAGGCTGACTTTTGCAGTGCGGTCACTGAGCCTCACTCAGCACTCTGAGAAGCAAACAGCACTGCCACTTAGATGTCGATCTTGAAAATTCAATCACGTTCAAGGAGGCTCAAGATAGTTACCGAGACTACACACGAGGAAGCAAAGCCCAGACAACTAGCAGGTCACGTGTGGAAAGCAAAGTGCTATCACGTCCCACCTGAACAGAGACCCCAGGAAGGGACTGCAGCATGAGCCTGCACAGAGGACAGACGAGGCTCTGGGCCTTCACCACGAGACTCACCGCTAAACTGACTGCGATCTGACCCCAAATTTTCAACAACCAATCGTTTCAGAGTGCCGGCTCAGGATAACCGTATTCTAAAGCATCTAAAGTTCTCCAGCGTCGGTCCTGTGTTACAACTGTCTGCGAACAGCTATCTCTGAACATAAGCTTCAGGCTTCTGATGACTGACAAGCTGTTTCTGACCACACCGCGGGGAAACCGACTCTACTACAAACAGAAGCCACAATGCCTGGTTAACCTTTCATTACTACACACAGATGGACACTAAGCCTAACCACCTCTCTAGGAATCCAAGGATGAAGACAGAAACAGTCAACTTAAATAAAGAAACCGCCTCCAAAGGGCTTTCGACTGTACCTCACTCTTGTCAACAACTGCCAGTAGATGAAGACTTAAAACAAAAATTACTTGCTCATATCAATGCTAGGTTTCCCCATTCACTCAGGAAGCAAGAGGCTGTAACAAATTCTTAAAAGAAAGCACTTGTATGCTCTCTGTGCACCTTTTACTCAGAAATCTAACGTTTACACTCCACGTCCCACAACTGGCCTCAACCCTGTTTCCAAAGTGCTCCCCCCAAGCCCCGGCTCCTGGCATGAGAGGGAGGAGTGTGGTGCTGACAGCTGTGACAGGGGGCAGGGACAGGCCAGGCCAGAGGTGAGGGCTCCGGGACACGCTGCTCAAGGAGAGCCAGGCCAGCCTGCTTCACTGGGGTGCCCCCGGGACTCTAGAAGCTGGAGCCCTCAGGGATTTCAGTGGGAACTTTTGTTTACAGCCCAAATGGAGATCCACTTGTAGCCAGCTCAACAGAGGTCTTTCGCCATTTAGAATGAAACAGTTTTAAAATTAAGACACCAAAATATTGTCCACATTATTTCACATTTGTAAAGTTTAAGGCAAGTTCCACAGGTGTTAACATGTGGGGCTGTCTCTAGAAATTAAGGTCAAGAAGGCTAAATACTTTGAAATGATTACACACAAAACAAGTGTGTGATAAAACAAAAAAATTGCATGTCCGGGTGCAACTGGGACCTTTAGGATAATCTGAGGATTTCAAAGGATAATTTGTTCAAGATAAATATTACATAAAAGTTTCTGAGCACCTGAAAATTTCCAAAAAGTTCTTACTCTAAGGCAAAAGTTCTTACATCAAGTGTGTACAGTAGATAAAATATTTCTTTCCCCTCAAGAGTATCATTTTAAAACGAAGTAACCAACACAAAAGGATTTTTAATGAAACTGACTCTGGGAAGGACAGGGGCAGGGACAGAACGTGCCCCGAGCGACCCACCTGAATGGGCCCCACCGACATCAGCAGGCTCTTCAGCTGGACGTCAGTAGTGGAGGAAGAAAGCCCTTCCACAGACACGACGCAGGGCTGAGGTTTGCACTCCACCACCCGCAGGTTCTGCTTATTCGGCATCAGGCGGCCCCGGCCCATCGCGCCGGCCATTCCTCGGCCTCGGCCGTGCATGATGACCTGGCAACAACAAGCATCACTGTTCAGCTGGGAGTCTGGGGGCAGCAGAACACACCCGCACGCGCAGACAGACACAGGGCCCCCCGAGCGGCGTGGGGAACTACAGCCCGCAGCTTCCCTGTGATGGAAAAGAATGTGTGTGTGTCTGTGTGCATGCATAGTTCTTAAATGAATCACTGTGATGTTCACCGGAAACTAACGCAACATTGTAGATCAACTGCACTTCAGTTTTTTTAAAAGGCAGCTATTCAAGTTACAAGCTTTGGAGTTTCTTTCACAGTTACTAAGATATAGAAGGGAGCAAACAGGTTAGAATCCATTAAAATACCATGAGCTACAGGATTTTCTATAGTTTTTATCCACCATCGGAAAAGAGTTTCATGTCCAGACAAGATGACAGCACCCAGCAAATCGGAGTGGAAGGAAAGGAAGGAAAGGAAGTGGCAAAGTCTGCATGTGCCCTGGTGCCAAGCACGGAGCCAGCAGGCACCTGCTGCGTTACCATCACTCCACAGAAGAAGCAGCGGCACCGCAGAGGTTCAGGAAGCAGCTGCAAGGACCACAGTTTAAGATTCGGATCCAGCCATCATGGTCCCAGAGCCCAATCACCCTCGCTGTGTCCTAAGCCGGCACAGCAGGTGCTGCTCCTCACAGCCGCCTCGGGCACTGCGAGCCACTGCACTGCGCACCAGCTCGTCTCATGAGCATGTGCCTTGCCATCCTGAGAGCCCAGAAGGCAGATTCTGCAACACAAGCACTGACCCCCTCGGCAGCTGCACCAATGCACACACTCCTCTGCAGAGCTTTCAAAACAAACCAAGAGAGCCAGGCAGAGAGGGGCAGAAGTGACCTCCTTTCCATCACAGAGAAGGGCAGAGAGGAAGGCGGTGGGCGTCAGCATGGACCCTGAGAACATGAACCGGGGCCACGCAAGGAGAAACAGAAAAACACAACACTTCTCAGCATCCCACAGCAGGTGACGCAACTGCTCCTGCAACATTCCTGAAGAGCAAAGGCAGCTCGAGAGAAGCCACGTGGGAAAACACAGGTCAAAAGCTGCAAGTGACACTGGTGAGAAGCCAGCAGGAAGTAACTCTTCTTGGGTTCTAACTACGAGAAGCTACATTGTTAACAGGAGCCCCGTTTACCCAGTGCTGGCTCACACACCAGGCAGCACCTTGCAAAACCCTCACAAGAGCCCAGGTAAGAAAAGAAAGGTGATTGTCCTCGTTTTAGGTGGGAGCAAACTGAGGCTAAAGATGAAGAAACTCGAGTGCTTTATTTATACATACAGCTCTGTAGGAGGCGCTTTTCTAAGGTCTTTCTCATTCGTTCAGGGACAACACCTGACTAAAGAAAGTCCAGACCAGAACCACCTTTAAGAGCATATACACCTGAAGGCATGACTCACTGTGTCTGCACATCTCTCTGCTACAGCAAAGATGGAACGATTCTGTTTGCCCCTGTATCATTAAGAACTTACAGTACATGTAAAGTAATTTAAATACTTGAAAGACCTAGGATGGCCTTCACATTGACACTACCACGTAACATCAGCGGTAAGACAAGCAGACGGGATGAACTAGTGGAGTCCAGAGCTTTCTAGAGGAAACTCAGAGCAGGTGCTGCTGCCCCCACCCTCCTTCGAGTGACTTCATCGACAGGGGACACCTGGCTTCCGCGTCAGGAGACACGTCACTGTGAGGCAGGGCGGTGAAGGCCTTGGGGAAGGTGTAAGGATGCCCATCACTACAAGCTGGGGCGGGGGGCGCTCCACCACTAGGAGTTCAAGGGAGGAGGTGGACGCCCCTACCCCAGGGAAGGTCAAGTTCAGGAGGGGTGCTGGATGCCCACGCCTCTCGTCTCAAGACACCCCTTCAAACCGCAGAGCAACGGAGGGAGGGAGGGAGGGAAGAACCAGGGTCAGAACCACTTTCTTGGGCAGGGTACTGCACCCCCAGAGGCCTCGGTTTCCCATCTGTGAACTGGGGTGATGTGGAGGAAATGCGGGAGCAGACACCTGGTCCTCCACCCGCAGAGTCTCTGGAGAAGCCGCGGGCCAGGGCAGGAAGGAGGGAGCACCGACGGGCTGGGGTTCCGTGCAGGGCCGTCTCCAGGGCGCAGCTCAGAGCCGCGGGCACTGCCCGCACTCTGGGTTGGGGGTGACTTCCGGAACCCCACCATTAAGAGTCACGAGAGGAAAGCGCCCTTATGGCCGTGCTAGCTTTCAGAGCCAGGGCAAAGGAAGTCACGGTTCACTGAGTCGTAACTGGAGCACCCCGACAGAGAAGCGCGGGCGGTGCTCAGGCTCCATGTTCCCAGGGTGAGGCCAGGTGGCGGGCAGTACCTTCTTGGCCGGGTGAACTCCTTGGATGCTCTTGATGCCTGGAGGGCCGGCCGAGTGCATGTGGGCGCCCACCGGCGGGTGCTGGGGCTGCTGAAGGGCACCCTTGGTCAGCGTCACCTTGCGGGCAGGCTGCTGTCTCACGTCTGGGGGCTGAGGGAGCCGCTGAGGCTGGCCCTCTGGGTGAAAAAAGCCATCGCTCTCTCCTCCCTGCTGAAACCAACAAGGCAGCACGCTGGTCAGTCTCTGCACAACGCGACGTCCCTCCCCAGGGTCAGGGGTCCACCTCGGTTAGTGTTCAACCGAGACGCAAAGCCATCACACAAGCAGAAATCCAAACCTGCCGTTTCACTAGAGCCACTAAAGGAACTGCTCATCTGACAGGTGCTTGGGTTTTAGTAAGACTTCTGAAATTTGAAGCTAAGATTTTTAATTACTGTATCCACTCAAGAGGTCTATAATTATTATAGTCAGTGCTGTTTAGCTCAGTGCAATGCTGCTGAACTTTAAAAATACTTCATACTTTTGACATACCTTTTTCATTTTCATGAGCATTCTTGCTAAAATCTGACAGTCTGCATAAACAGTGGTTTTCAACTTTTAACTCCTGTTCAATCCTAATGAAACTTGGTCATCATCCTGACTCACCCCACGGGCCATGGTCATAAACCTGGGGGCATCCCCACACCGTCCATCCCCTGCAGACACAACACTGGACACTCAACTGTGCTCGCAGGGCCCAGGAGCACCCCAGTCAACCCTCCTCGCGCTGAGTCACATGCACCCACACGTATGCTGGCCTCTGGGCTCAGTTCTGGAACGACAGCAGACCAGCCAGAAGTCCAAGAAATTTCATGAGGAAATTCTAAAAATAAGTTACTGAAGGGAACCGTGGGTGGACAGCAGAAGTGAGAGCTGAGGTGGCGGCCAGTGGGCAGCCCACACACAAATCGCTGGCCAAGGTACTGAGCACAACCTCTTCCCAAATGGCTGGCTGACCACTAAGCTACGCAGCAACAGATCTGACTTCCTAGGAAGCCAGGCTAAGAAGTAATAAAAAACTGAACAAAAAATACTTTGAGTGAAAATACAATATGTCAAAATCAAGGGGTTGCAACTAAAGCTGTTCTATCAGCAAGAAAAAGAGGTCTAAAATCAGGAACTTCAGCTGTTATTTCAAGAAGCTAGGAGGGGGGAAGAAAAGAAATTGAACCCAAATGGAAGGGAAGAAGAAAGATCACAGCAAAGGCAAAGGCATAGTGAACAGGAAACCAACAGGGAAAAATCAATCAAGCCAAAAGTCAGATTTCTGAGACCAACATTGATAATCTTTTAACTAAACTGACTAAGGAAAAGGAGAGAAGACACAAATTACCAAAAAATCAGAAATAAAAGGATTAAAACTGGCACTACAGAAATTTAAAAGTATATTTTGAATAACTCTATAGCAACAAATTAAGACAACTTTGACAAAAGCCATAAAAGATGCAAGATACTAAAACTGATTCAAGAAGAAAGAGAAAATCTGGAAATGTGAGAAGACACTGAATTGACCATTAAAAACCTCCAGCAAAGAAAAACCCAGGTCCAAATGGATTTTCTCTCTGGTGAATTCTGTCAACTATGTAAGAAAGACAGACTGCCAATCTCACACAATCTCGCTCAGAAAACCAGAGGAGGAGGAACTTTCCCACTCGTCATTTGAGGACTGTATTACTCTGACACAAAAGTCAAACAAAGACATCAAAAGAAAAGAAAGTCACAAAAGAATATCCCTCATCAACATATATGAAAAAAGCCCTCACTAAAATAGCAGCAAACTAAATTCAGCAACACAGAAAAAGGAGCATACGTCACAACCAAGTAAGACTGATCCCAGGAATGCAAGGTTGGTTTAACACTCAAAAATCAACTCAAGTGACAGACCACGTTAACAGAGGAAAGGACCACACGACCAGCTGCACTGACGCGGGAAAAGCATTCGTAATAAAAATTCTCAAAGAACCAGGAAGAAAAGGGCCTCCTGTCAGCCTGATAAAGGGCATCTACCAAGACTCCACAGTTTGCATCATACTCGGGAACGGCAGGCAGGGACGCGTGACCTGCACGTCAGTCCTCGGGCAGCTTTCAGGTGTTAGTGATCTTGGGCTTTAATCCAGAACCATCCAGTCAGATCCTCTGGAGCTGGAACTCAGACATCAGCACATCTGTGCAGCCAGGGCTGTGGACGGCTGAACCAGGTGGGTCCCTTCTAACGTTCAGTGACTCTGTGCCTCCGTAATATCCTTTACAATCACCTGAAATGTGATCCTGCTGGGCGGTGTTCCTACTGATGGAGGAATATCCCCCAAATGACAGTGGAAGCACCACGGAAAGACAGGCCGTTGTGCAGGACTATGACCCACATACGCAGACCGCTTCTTGTGCCTCTCGAGACTTCGCCACTAGATAATCTATCTAAAACATGTGAGCAGGTACCCCAGCCAGGCAGGGATGGGCTATTCTCAGAGCACAATTTTTAAAAGTCTTTATCTTGAAAGGCTATGTGAACTCTCTCTTGTTTTGTACTTGCCTGAAATTTTCCATACTAAAAAGTTAAAAAATTTAAGACTATATACCACACATTCTTTTTTTTTTAATTTTTATTGTTTGGCAGGGGGAGGTAACTAAGTTTACTTGTTTATTTTTGGAGGCGATGCCAGGGATTGAACCCAGAACCTCCTGTGTGCTAAGCATGTGCTCTACCATTTGAGCTATACCCTCCCCCTCACCACACATTCTTAAGAACCAGTAATCCATCATTAATTTATCTAAAATTCCATTGAAATTGTTAGGATAAGATTCATAAACTCACTACGCATATGTTAAGTCTTACTGTCCTTAAAAACATTTCTTTTCACGTGAGCTGACATTTCACACTAGCCCCCAGGTCCCACCAGAGGCTGTGTCTTAGACGCAGGTGCACTGGGTATCTAAATTCTCCACATGGCTCAGCTACACAAGTCTGATGAATGGTTCTCCAACGTCTACCTTTTTCATGAATGTGGGTAAATGAACTGGCTGTGTATGACTAGCTCTCTGGGAAAGTCTTCCACTTTATGGACTAAGGGATCTAAATAAACTCCCTAGAAGCTCATCAGGCAAGGTCAAAGTCTGAGGACACCTAGAGCATATGCCATCTTTTAAGTGTCTAGAGAAATCAGTGAATAGAATAGACTTTATTCTATTTTGTTCACAAAGTCAAAATTTCCTGTGCACATAGATGGCACTGAAATGTTTATCAAATAAGACAACAGTAGACCAGACTTGTTCTGAATGCGCCATAGAAAAGATTATAGCATCAGGATACTAGGTTATAGCCACCATCAATCAGTACGTATCTATTTGCTAAGTGCCACCATGATACTGAAGGGCCAGCCTTCAGTTCAGCAACACCACTGTGTGCATCAGAAAACTCTGCCATGCTGCAGAAAGCGGTAATTAGTTAGTACATGTGGCCTGAAAGGAATGATGTCCAAATACACGATGGATAATACAGTGAGTATTGTCCTGGCTTTTTCTTGAGCAATCCAAAGCTAAAAATAAGATGGTCCAGATAGTAAACTTCTATTTAAAAAAAACAGCTTGCACCAAAAGTAGAATATTTGCCTATTTTAAGGTATACCCTGTGTAAATGTATTTGGGTGATAAATATGTAACACTGGCAATCTGATGATTTTTAAACTGAGAATAAAGAACATAAACATTTAGTCAATAAACATACCAAATAATGAAAATCCTCTTCATTGCTATCCTGAGTAAGAGACTGGTAATAATTCATGTCTGACAATATTAGCGTCACATAAAAACCCTGAAAAACAAAGTTCTTTTTTTCCCTCTCAAGAGAATTTTTAAAGTAACCTTGATCTCTGTCTAAAGTTCAGAGAAAAAAGCCTTTAGGATCTTCTAAGAGACGGCCTGAAAAGACACAGGAGAAGGACATCTGCGGGCCTGGACCTCACCTCCTGGCGCCCCCCTCCCTCCGCGCCCCGCCTTGTCTCACACCCGCACCCAGCACCAGTTCCTCCGGCTCCTCCCTGTTTGGAGGGAGCGCCCCAGCCACCAGCCTGACTCGCTCCCTCTCCAATCCTAAGGTTTCCCAGGCCACAGAGCTGCTTTACTTTCCTTCACAGCATTCATCACCACCCACAGTCATGTCATGCTGACCAGAACGGCAGCCCCATGGGAGGCACGGGTCACCATGGCATCCTCAGGACAGAGAAGTGGACAGGGCGGACGGACGACAAGCACTCGCTGAGTCAATGCTGAGCACAGAGAGAGGGATGTTTCAGGCGGGGATTAAGACAGAGGCCCCACCTTCAGGAAAACTGCTACCAACTGCTTTCAGACGGTGGGGGGGGGGGCGGCCCTGGGTAAACTCTGGAGTCACTTATGCTCAGGACAGTGTTTCACGCCTTGGACAGCTGCAAAGGGTATGATAAGCTTTGTTTATTTCTGGAAATTTCCAAGGCACTCCTAGGATCTTCCTCACCCCTGGTCTGGGTGTCGTGCAACACGCCCCCCGCACGGGAGGATGGGCGGGCGGGCGTTTGTCGGACGTCCTCACCGTGGCAAGCCCTGCGCGTCCAGATCCGGTTTTCTCTCAGTCCTCCCTCAACGCAAAGATCGTCATTCTCACTTTGCAAGTGAGAAACGCAGTGAGTGCTAGGACTTCCTGCCCCGACGGGTCCCAAGCGTGGACTCCACACTGCCTCCTAGGAAAGGAGCTCACTAACAACTATTTTTAGCAAGGGTGGAAGCAAAGGGACTAACCATCAATTAAATCATTTTAATTAAATGAGGGGTTACTGTAATATGTTCCGCTTTTACATTTTTCTGAAAACCATGCTGAAGACTCAAGACTTCAATATAAAGTTATTTCATTTTGTAAGAGAAACAAAGTTTTCTTTTCCTACTTAAAAGAACAATTATTTTCCTTCAAATTAGCACAATGAAAAGCTAATTCTTAGGGGAAATTTTAAACCTCAGAGTTATTCCAGTTAGCACCAGGAAACAGTCAATCTGTTGATTACTAGGCTGTGGCCAGAAACATATTTTCACACCTACACTCACACACAGAGAAACAGACAAAAGGTGAGCGAGAACCAAGCCACACTAAACCCACCCATTCACTTAGAAGTCTTCTACAGCTTGTGCTTATGGTCACAGCT